GTGTCGGTCGGTTGAAGCCACGAAACAGTGGACCACCGTCTGCGCCGGACTGAAGTTGACCCAATGCTGCACGTGATCCGGGTTGGTTTGGACCAGCAAGGAACCCGGGATGATGCGGAAGGGGTGCAGCGGTTGGTTGCGCACCAAATGCCCCAGATCCCTGGGATAGTTGTGCCGTGGANAGTGGGTGAACTGCTGCAGCGGCACCCAAAACTGGTCTTGCTCCAAGGGAATTACCGGGGGTTGCAGCTGGGAAAAGGCCGGGTGTTGGTCGGTTGAAGCCACGAAACAGTGAACCACCGTCTGCACCGGACTGAAGATGACCCAATGCTGCACGTGATCCGGGTTGGTTTGGACCAGCAAGGAACTCGGGATGATGCCGAAGGGGTGCAGGCGTTGGTTGCGCACCAAATGCCCCAGATCCCTGGGATAGTTGTGCCGTGGAGTTTTGTTGCCAGCGTGCTGTACGTTCTCCTAAACTCTCGTAGTGTGATTCTCAGATTTCAGTTCCGTTCGGGGGTTCACTAGGCCACACGTTGGACTCAAGAACCGAGCTGGAGGATGAGGTGGATGACGGACCGATACGTCGTGGACCGCCAGATACATTTGTTGGTGTGTCGAAAAGACCAGGTGCTCGATTGCTCGTGCTATTTGTACAGCCAGCTGAACTGACTCCATCACCAGCCGACGGGGAACCACAGGTGGCCGATTGGCTAGTCGGTTAGTTCGGACAAATCCCACGGGGTGCTCTGATCCACTGGATTTAAGCCCCACGGTTCGGTCGTATTCACAACGGATCGGATCGCTTCCTCCGGATCGGAAGCAAACAATGCATCCACCTCGGCACGCTCAATGCTGGTTTTCTTGGCGGACATGTGGCTGATTGCTGTCTGAGTCCATAGGTTTCGATTCAGGTGCCGCCCCGGTCGATGACACCATCTGGTTTTCGCCGTAGTCCGAGATTGGTTGAAAACAGCTACCCGGTGCTATGGCATTGCCTACACTCATTTTTGAGAGAGACACAGATAGACCGGAACGGTCGTCTAGGTCGGAAAAGGAAAGGGAAAAAACAATGATTCACATTTAACTCTCAGTGAGTAGTTGTGTGGAACAATTCATGTGGATTTGAACCGACTGTCATTCGGATTTTACTTTCACGTACACGCCTCAGTTCTTCTAGTCAACCATGAACTCAGGAGCGCTAAACTCGTTTCACTCTTATTAGAACCTGTCGCTAGTGCACTTCCAACGTAGGTTCGGGCTTTGAACTCTAGACCCATCACATGGAAGGCGTGTGTTACTACTGTGCCAACCAGCTCATATCAGGGCTGAACGGAACCGCCAAATCCTATTTGTTCAAGTGTCGTCTTCAATGAGTTCAATGAACAGAAATATTTGCATCTAATAAGGAACAAACAGACAGGACAATATGCGAAACATTATCAATCGCTTTGTTAAGCCACATTTCGCTCTGCCTGAGATAGTGCGAAGAATTTAATGAATAATTATTTAGAGAAATATAGTAGTTGGTCCAATTGAACATGAATTTTGATGCAGAAGTTCGTGCGTCTTCAACTTGCTCGAGCGGAATAGACAACGGCAGCCGAGGCGCGCATGCAGTAGAAGCAGTCCCATTCGACTTTTCCGAATTCCCTCCCCCAATCGAGTGAACCGGGCATACACTGGTGTGTGTGTGTGTGTGTGTGTGTGTGTGTGAGCTATACCGTTATGGATTTTGAGGACATGGCTTAGCTGTGAGCGCCCGAAATAAGGATACATTATATGGATCATCTGCTCGCTGAATTTTGCTTCTGTACCTGGCACATAACCTCATGCCTCGTCTCCACGTCATCTGTCGACCCCCACGGAGTTTTCTCCAACTCGGAGCGGCTACAGCAAATAAAGCGCGGTGCGACAGACGACACCTGGGCATACGTAATACGTGTCCTAGCCAGCGAAGCCCGTAGATCTGAATTCGATGAGCTAGCACATATCTTCCGGATGAACTTCCTAACACACGACGGCTTACCTCCAGATTACTCACCCATGAGCACCATCACGAATGAGCTAAACTACGTAAACACCGCAAATCGAAAACTTACAGTTTATGGATATCTTCTACTCGCAAATTCAAGGTCTCACAACCATAAGGCGGAAGTGAACGAACGGTAGCATACTATACACAACCTTTCAACTTCAGTGAAACGTTGAGTCTATACCAAAGGTGTTTCAGTCTTGCGTATGCTGCTCGAGCCATGGAAATGCGGGCGGTTATCTCGTTTGATGAGCTACCGTCATTATCCACACAACCACATAGGTAGGAAGAGCAATCCACCATAACTAATTCCTGTTCATTTAATTTCAAAGCGGAACTAGGCAACACCCCAGTCTTGCAGCATCAATTTACACTTTGCAGGTGCAAAACACATACCGAATGGAGTAACAACTGTTAGCCTATCGAGTGCGCTTAGTGCGTCCTGGGTACGTTTCGAACGGACAGACGATGTTACCGATGTACTCTTGATCGCACCAATTTTCTCCAACCGTGCGATTTAGAATGACTCTGGTATGTATTTCTCTAAGTACATCATGTTTGTCATCTAATAAAAAGAACTCACCTGTACAGTAATTGAAACCCACTAGGGCTACGATAAGCGTCAATCTCTCCATTACTTGCCCTTGACTTTCATAAAAACTGCAAATGATTAATGGCGGGGATGCACCCGAGTCACAGATAGCGATTCTCTCTTTGAGATCAAATCAACCAACGGTTATATGACCTCGAGTATCATCAGAAAGCAATGACGAGACGGTAAGAGTTGATTTCAAGACAAGTTCTTAAGGAGAACGTGTCAACTGCTTAGAGCCGTTAACACTCATAAACCGCTACAGTTATCAACGGAGATGGTCAAATCATGGACTTTGTTTCATTGTTAGAGAGAGATTACTATACCACGAGTTGTTCTGGCGCGAAAATCCACAAGTTTGGTCAGATAGCATGAAACCACGCTCACTGCATATCTCATGGGGAATAAGCATTTTTCTGTTGAGCACATACACAATCTAGCTGGGCTTGAAAGAACCCACTGACCGGGAAAAAGTGAATAACCACATGCGGATAAAATCTCTTCCCGAATGCTTCATGTCTGTTAGTCAAAAGTCTCACCAAATAGAAAACCACGATCTCGATCATATATTTACTGGGTGAAAGATGAAAACACCATCAGGTAGATGTTCGAACAGGCAGCGGTAGGAGATGACCTGATAAGGTGTAACCTGTTTGTTTCTCTATGTGATGACTGACTAACTGACTGATGACTGGCCACTTCATAAGCACTGATGACACCTCGGCTGGTGATGAAACGTTTGCAAACAAATTGCCAACCTGGGCGAACAGGCGAAATGGAACTGACAAATAACTTGGAACAGTGGAATTGGTCAGCAGTGCACACTGTTGTGTTCCCGTCGGGAATCGAGCCGCGAAATTTCGGGGGGTGGGAATCATTGCCATTTCCCTAAAAACTGTTCTGTTTTGTTCTGTTCTTACACCCATTAGCCATACTCCAGGGGTTGGAGTGGATAGTTAAGGGAAGCCAGGAGGTGCCCAAGCAGCTGGCCTCAGACTATAAAACTCGAACGAATGGCCACAGCAATGGACTAGGTCATTTGAGTTCACAGCTATTCGACATTGTATGTTTTTTTTCTGTTTAGTCATGGATTTACAATAGAATTTATATTTGTGCTACCGGACAAGGAGTGAAACCATCAGGCAAAAAGGAGTGACTAGGGTCTGAAAGATCAAATGAAACAACCAAAATAACATGCAACTTGATTCAGTCAGTTTGTTACAGATTGAAAGGGAACAAAGACAGGCATAGAAGTTCATAAAATAAACCAGGTTTACCTAGATGACACTGTGCTATGCGGTTGACATATTTGTGAAGTAAAACGAACAGGATCTAATCAGTTGGTGTGAAAATAAGTGCTATCAAGAAACGCTATGAAAATCTTCAAAAAGTCGGCAGATTTGGTTGTGGTAAAAGCCAAGTTGTACTCGGTATCCATGAGTAAGGCAACAAATTCATAATAGATATAACCACAAGCAAAGATACGGCGTCTTGAAGAATTCTCGAACTAAGACATCCAATAATTATCAAATTTGACATATCTTTTCCATCCGAAAAAAAATCAACAGACCGAAAAGTAAATGAAACCAGGATGAAGAAAGGAACACCGGAAAAATCCTCCAAAGGTTCCCAATAGAGTTTTCACTATGGACTGACTTACCAGCAAGAAGATCGGTCTCTGCTCCGAGAGGCCAACCGCCTCCAGCCGGGTACCGGCGATTTGGATCTGCGCCGGGGGCAGCAGAAGAATTCACCATCAGCTGTTGCTGACCAGTGATTGNTCGGAGGTCTCTGCTCCGAGAGGCCAGCCGCCTCCAGCAGGGTACCGGCGATTTGGATCTGCGCCGGGGGCAGCAGAAGAATTCACCATCAGCTGTTGCTGACCAGTGATTGCGCGGGGCACACCGACCGTCGGACCATCCGAACCACGTACAGGCCAACACACATTCGATCCGGAGTTACCTGCGGGAGCACCGGGTGCTCCAAGCAGGGAGTTGGAAGCACCGGGAAACTGGGAGACGGACCACTGAAAGAAGACATTGAGGGGAAGGTATGTGAATGAGAAGAAACAGTATCGAAGTGCAAAGGTCTCAAAGCCGTAAAATCAATCTTGACCATCACTAGTGAACGAAGATTAATTGAACCATGCGAAATATATAAAGACCTATGTAGTATAATTATGAATTCCGGACGAACTAACAGTCTACCTTAGGATGGACGATCCATTTTTGAGCAATAGACAACCATTACTTTACCTAATACGAAAAATGCTAATAGCCTTTGAGAACTCCTAAAATTTCCTCAATTAATACCATATTAGAATTCGGCGTTGCATTTCTGATAGACAATCGCTTGAACAAGTATCATTATCAGCATCATCATAAAGTAAAATGNAATGCAGTAAGGTCTGAGGTGCGTTCTTAGCAGGCGGGTTTCATCTAACGAAGTAGTCGAACAATTTAGAACGACTCCCCGGGAAAGATCTCCGAGGATAAGAGTTAAACTAGAACTAAACCTTGGTATCTAAACTCGCTCTCACCATTGAAAGTGCGGCGGAACAGAAATCAAGATCAATTCGAGATCGAGATAACCCAGAGGGATGAAAC